CGACCAGAAAGTAGCAAGAAAGAGAATAGAACTTAGCAGGACCCAACATTCCTGGGAATAGGACTTAGCAGGACCCAAGTTCCTGGGAGCCACACAGCCTCTAGGGAGAGCCTGGCTGGGTTACAGTTCCCGTTTGAACACTTAAAATAGCACTGCGAAGATAAAAACATTATCTTATCTCTAGCATTTCTGTTTATATATTTATTCCTCCTTGAAATAAAATGTTCTAAAGTTATACTGTTTAATTCATTTTTCTAAACTTAGGCAACACAATTTTACATAGTCCTATTTCCAGTTCTTATACATCTGCTTAGTATTTAGATTCAGTTAGAAAATCTGAGTATCTAGATTTCCCCAGGAGCTTTATTTTTTTTATTGATTCTTTGAAATAAAAATTAATATTTAACTTCCTATGACTAAAAGAAAATAAGCATTATGATACCAAAACCAAGAAAAGACTCAACTAAAAAGGAGAATTTCAGACTAATTTCACTAATGAATATAGATGCAAAAATTCTCAATAAAATCTTAGCTAATAGATTACAGCTTATCATCAAAAAAGTCATACATCAGGATCAAGTAGGTTTCATCCCAGGAATGCAAGGCTGGTTTAATATACGCAAGTCCATAAACGTTATTCACCATATCAATAGACGTAAAACCAAAGACTACATGATCCTCTCAATAGATGCAGAAAAAGCATTTGATAAAATCCAGCATCCTTTTTTAATTAGAACACTGAGAAGTATAGGCATAGGTAGTACATTTCTTAAACTGATAGAAGCTATCTATGACAAACCCACAGCTAGTATTTTACTGAACGGAGTAAAACTGAAAGCTTTTCCTCTTAGAACTGGAACCAGACAAGGCTGTCCTCTGTCACCATTACTATTCAACATTGTGCTGGAACTTATAGCCAATACAATTAGACAAGACAAGAAAATAAAGGGCATCCAAATGGGACCAGAGGAGGTTAAACTCTCCCTTTTTGCTGATGATATGATCTTTTTTTTTTTTTTTTGAGACAGGAGCCTCAAGCTATCCCCCTGGGTAGAGTGCTGTGACATCACAGCTCACAGCAACCTCCAACTCCTGGGCTCAAGCGAGTCTCCTGCCTCAGCCTCCCAAGTAGCTGGGACTACAGGCGCCCACCACAACGCCTGGCCATTTTTTGGTTGCAGCCATCATTGTTGTTTGGCGGGCCCCGGCTGGGGGTTCGAACCCGCCACCTTAGGTGTATGTGGCTGGTGCCTTAGCCGCTTGAGCCACAGGCGCTGAGCCGATGATATGATCTTATACCTGGAGAACCCCAAAGACTCAACCACAAGACTCTTGGAAGTCATCAAAAAATACAGTAATGTCTCAGGATATGAAATCAATGTCTACAAGTCAGTTGCTTTTGTATACGCCAATAATAGCCAAGATGAGAGGTTAATTAAGAACATAATTCCCTTCACCATAGCCCCAAAGAAAATGAAATACTTAGGAATATACCTAACAGAAGAGGTGAAGGAACTCTATAAACAGAATTATGAAACCCTAAGAAAGGAAATAGCAGAGAACATTAACAAATGGAAGAACATACCATGCTCATGGCTGGGAAGAATCAACATTGTTAAAATGTCTATACTTCCCAGAGTAATTTACTGATTCAACACCATCCCTATTAAAATACCAACATCCTACTTTCAAGACTTGGAAAAAATGATTCTGCGTTTTAAATGGAACCAGGAAAAAACCCGCACAGCTAAGGCAGTTATGTACGTAGTTAAGTACAAAGCTGGGGGGTATCAGTATCTGTAGTACAGATTTTAGGCTGTACTATAAGGCCATAGTGGTCAAGACAGCATACTACTGGCACAAAAATAGAGACATAGCTATTTGGAATTGAATAGAAAACCTGGAAATGAAACCAACAACTTACAGTCACCTAATCTTCAATAAACCAAACAAGAGCGTCCAGTGGGAGAAAGACTCCCTATTTAATAAATGGTGCTGGGAGAACTGGATATCCACATATAAAAGACTGAAATTGGACCCACACCTTTCTCCACTCACAAAAATTGATTCAAGATCGATAAAGGACTTAAATTTAAGGCATGAAACAATAAAAATTCTCAAAGAAAGAATAGGAAAAACACTGGAAGATATTGGCCTGGGGAAAGACTTTATGAGGAAGACTGCCACGGCAAACGCAACAACAGCAATACTAAACAAATGGGATTTAATGAAACTGAAAAGTTTTGTACAGCCAAGGAGACAACAACCAAAGCAAATAGACAACCTACTCAATGGGAAAGGATATTTGCACATTTTGAATCAGATAAAAGTCTAATAACTAGGATCTATGCAGAACTTCAATTAACCTACAAGAAAAAAACCAACCATCCCATATATCAATGGGGAAGAGACATGAATAGAATCTTCTCTAAAGCCGATAGACAAATGGCTACTAAGCATATGAAAAATGCTCATCATCCCTCATTATCAGAGAAATGCAAATTAAAACCACCCTGAGATATCATCTAACCCTAGCAAGAATGGCCTATATCACAAAATCTCAAAACTGCAGATGCTTGTGTGGATGTGGAGAGAAAGGAACGCTTTTGCACTGCTGGTGGGACTGCAAACTAATACAACCTTCTTGGAAGGAGGTATGGAGAAACCTTAAAGAACTCAACCTAGACCTGCCATTTGATCCTGCAATCCCATTACTGGGCATCTATTCAGAAGGAAAAAACCTTTTATTATAAAGACACTTGTACTAGGCTGTTCATTGCAGCCCAATTTACAATAGCTAAAATGTGGAAACAGCCTAAATGTCCTTCAACTCAGAAATGGATTGGTAAGCTGTGGTATATGTATACCATGGAATATTATTCAGTCATCAAAAATAATGGAGATTTTACAGCATTTGTACTAACCTGGGTGGAGGTGGAACACACTATTCTTAGTGAAGCATCACAGGAGTGGAGAAGTGAGAATCCTATGTATCCACCTTTGATATGAAGACAATTAATGACATGATGGGGCATGGGGGAAGGGAGACCAGACAGAGAATGGGGTGGGTGTGGGTGAGGAAAAAAAAAAGAAAGAAAATAGTGACTAATTCTCATATAAATTGTATTTAATTTTGACCAAAGTACATTACTGAGACATTAATTTTTAATTCAACATGTTAATATGTTGTTTATCATATTGCATCCTCATTTATAAGTGAAATATGTTTATAATTTCCCCTTTATAATAATGTATTTTCTCCAGTTTTAATATCAGGTCTATCCAGATTAAGTAGAATGATTTTGAAGTATTTCTTTTTCTATTGTCTATAAGATTTGGGGGCAGCACCTGTGGCTCAAAGGAGTAGGGCTCTGACCCCATATGCTAGAGGTGGTGGGTTCAAGCCCAGCCCCAGCCAAAAACTGCAAAATAAATTAATTAATTAAATAAATAAATTAAAAAGATTTGGCATGATCTGGGTTTTTTTTGAAATTATCTTTTATTTATAAATACTAGTTGTCTATTTTTTTGACACTTTGGAAAAAAACAAAATGAGAAGTTAACTGATCAAAGTATTCTATAATAGACATACTCCTATCTGACAATGTGAATGGTACTTTCTTTGCATTATTACTATTACTGTTACTTAATATTTCATTGCAGCAATCGTCCGATTTCTTTTCTGAATGTATTTATCTTCATTCGTTCTTTATGAGGTTTTTGATCTCAGTCCTTATGTTAAATATTGTTATTGTCATTAAATTTAGCCTTTTTAATTCTGTGAAGGCAAAAGTGGAAACCTAATATACACTTGTATAAGAAAAATAAATTTTAAAAAAAGAAAAATAAAACAGAAAATAAGCATTAGTCGCAGAGAGAAGAATACAGCCCTTTTAATTTTGAGCCCTAGTACAGGACCTGAATGTGGTACTCAAGATAAAATGTTGTTTCTGGTGTTTTCTTCCCATAATTACAGCATTACAGAGACTTTTTAAATGTTCCCTGTTCCAATTAGAAACAATAGTTACTAGCCCGAGCAAGAGTGAGACCCCATCTCTACTAAAAATAGAAAACTTAGCTGAGCATTGTGGCAGGTGCCCATAGTTCCATCCACTCAAGAGGCTAAAGCAAGAGGATCACTTGAGTCCAAGAGATTGAGGTTGCTGTAAGGTACGATGATGCCACAGCACTCTATCCAGAGTGACGAAGTGAGGCTCTGTCTCTAAATAAATTGAAATTGTCTCCTCACGTAGAGCCCTGAAGCCAGTATTAGAGAGCATACAGGCAAGAATTGCATTTGTTGGTAAACCACTATTTCTGTTGCTGGACCAAGGAGTCTGTCCGCCTGTCATCCCAGGCAATCAACCAGAGAAGCAGATGAGAGATCAAGTTTCACTTTCATTTACAGAAAAGCCAGTGATTCCAGAGAGCAGTGGGGCTATCGCCACAAAGAACTGCTCTGCTCTGTCATTTCTCTTGACTATATTCTACACCGCACAGCACAAACCTGCGTCAGCAGCGTTGTCACGCAGTGCGCTCTACATCACACAAGTTCTCCTTACCCCCACCTGGGAGGTTATAATGTCAAAATATCTCATGCTTTCAAGGTGACTGAAAGGATTTAGTTAGACTAAATTTATGGCCAATTAGTGATTCACAGAGTGCACAGAATACCCTGGGCCCCTTGGCTGGTGCCAGGGAGTCCAGTTTCCCTGCTGATCTATGACACTGTGCCTTGAAAGGAAACAATCCCCACACAGGCTGGCCTTCCTGGGGCTTGACCAGCAGCGTCCTGCACGAAATGGCCACAGAGGTTAACAGTGGCTGGTAACACTCCTTGCACACGTGTACAGACACTACCGTCACTAACTATCGAGTCCAACAATAGTAAATGATGCATGAGAATCCAGTGCCGCTGGTTTTTAAACAGCTGTTTGCCCCCATTAAAGGCAACTTCTGGTGTGCAAAAGTAAAATACCATCTCTTCATATCTCTGTGCATCAAGATACACAAGTGTCCCAGAGCCTGGCAGGCCAGTCCATGGCAAGACAGCGTCCAGAATGACCACTTTCCTCCTCTGCGGTGATCAGCGGCACAGAACCATCTGTGTCCTGAGCCAGTTCTGCCACCTCTGCCTCTGTGCAAAACCCACTCTTACTTTCTGTTAACAAAACACACCTGGATGGGCCCCCTGGTGTCAGGAGCCGGTGGGTTGTTGCATGAACAGCTTTAGTCTGAGATGTTTTGATCTCAAAATGTTGAAGCAACTAAGAAGAGAAGAAAGAGAGAGAAGGATTCAGAATAGGAACAACAGAAAATTCCCAAATGCTTTCACTCCTCCCATGGTGGCTCTGGGCAGCTGGGAGTCCAGGCAATGAGTGCCCATGTCCAGCGGGGAGGCCAGTGGATGCCTGCTGTCAGGAACAGAACTTTGGATCCTGTATGAGAGCCTGGAGTGTCCGTCCACTGAGCAGCTGGGAAGCTGGTGTGACAGAGAGAGGCAGGCAGAATACCCAAGTGACTTCGGTTTCATTAGTCATTTTGAAATCCAAGCCTGTCACTTCCATTTTAGGTCTAGATAAAGAAGGTATCAAAGGAGCAAGAAGAGCCAGGAACAAAGTGAAACTCCAGTTTCCTGTAGATTCAGAACCTGTGGCCACTTCACATTCCACAAAGCAGTGGGGGGAGCTGAGTCACAGAACAGGACTCTGCCATGTGAATGTCCTGAATTTAAATATTCCTGATTTGTTCCTTTGATTACATATCCCATTTCTACAGTTCAAACTAGAGCCCTCCCTGCCTCCCAGAGTGAAACTGGAAAGAGCCTAAACAGTAAGCTGGGAGAACACCAAGGTATCCATCACCCGCCCACCAACGGCCAGGCCTGACGTTCAAAGTCAGTCCAGGGATCAAAGACAACCTGCTCAAAGACTTCTGCCAAAATGCAGGAGAGGGGAGGGAGGGCCCTGCTTCCAGCCCACTGGGACAGTGCAGGGGGCAGACAGCCAGGGTCTCCACCCGGAATGCAGCTGTCCCCTCCCAGCCCTGCCTCTCTCTCCAGCCTCATTTCCCTAGTGAGGAAGAAGAAACCAGGAGAGGCTGGGGCTCCAGGATGGAGTCAGGCAGGGTCAGGGTCAGGGCTGCCATGGGACATGGCGTGTCTGTAGGTGGCTCCATCTGAAAACCTGCCCTCCAACCCATCTTGCTGACCTCACAGAACTGCCTGCTCCTTTCCATATGGCAATTAAAAATAATGATGCTCCCTTTCTGTGCTTTCTCAGGCAGAAATGAGGACTCCCCAAGCAAAAACTTCAGCGAGTGCATCTGTATGTTAATAAAAGTCAATACCGGCTCGGCGCCTGTGGCTCAAGTGGCTAAGGCGCCAGCCACATACACCTAAGGTGG